TTTTTTTTTTTTTTTGGTATTGTTTTAATACTACTTGTAAATATTCAAACTGGTTGTACTGTCAGGATAGTTGACAGACCGCAACTCTTTGTCTCCTTATTCACTCTTTTCATTCAAGTTCTTCTACTAGTTGGTATTTAATCCATTGCTGTATCCTTTCTTTTCAAAGCTCAGGGCTCCAGGATTATCTTCTGTATCTGTGTCAATTGGTTTCTTTTTTCTTTCTTGAAAAGAGTATGTGTAGCTTGTCTGTCTATTCTGCCATCTTACTAGAAATCTTAGTTGGGATCTTTGTTGCAAGGAACCTTCTATACCTGTGTTGACATTATCATTAAAGGGGTGCCATGTTCTCCACAGTGTGTAAAGGGTAGGACTAATAGCTGAGGCAAAAGAAATGGGAAAGGCAGATGTGTTCCCTGCCTTTGCTGCAATCTAATTCTGTACACATGTGGTTTCTTGTCCTGACAAGTAATGGTTCCAGTTGCATATCTGCTGAAGAGCTCAAGGGCCACAGACTAACAGATGCTGGCATATGTTTACTTAAAGAGGTAGGTGGCATTTGTCAGAGGTGATGGTAAATGCACTTTTATTTTTGTTTTCTTCTTGTCTGTGAAATATCAGACATATCATAATAAGATACAAAAAATACCAGAGCTAGAAAAATGCATGGTGTTGGCGTCCCTTCTCTCCTGAATGAGAGATTGCCTTTTGTAATTATCAACCTTCATTTCCAAAACAGTGTCATCATTGGCTTTTCCATCTTTTCATTTAGGAGTGGATACTATGAGGTGGAGAAAACTTACTCACTTCATGGTCAGTTAATTGACTCTCAATTTGGGTACCCTTTGCCTTCCTCCCTCAAGCAACCACCAGAAGCCTTCATGCTGAGAGGAACCAGCTAGCTGATCTGAAAGCTGGATATGAACACAAAAGGCCACAAGTCATTTTACATTTTTAGTCTGCTTGGTGTTGCCTCAGAACAGAATACTAAAGTCATTTGTCCAAGCTGAAAGGGCTGTAGAGATCCTCAGATCCATAGAGAAGCTTAGACTGGGGTTCAACCTCGTCATTTCACAGATGGGGATAGTGACATGCTGAAGGTCATGTGAGAGCCTGTGACAGCTTTGGGCATAGAACATTTTCTCCAAACTTCTTGCCTGTCCTTTGCTCTGTCTGCTATCCAAAACACTTAAGGGGAAACCAAGTGCCATAAGAGCCTGTGACCCTTGGACCAACTGGGCAATCAATCACTAACAAGACAAGAGAGTAATCTAGGCTGCTAAGAGTAGCACAGTTAGGCAGGGTATGTTCACAACACTAAGGAGAGTCTGACTACTCTTCAGAAGGAAAGATGAGAGAGGGTACTACTCTCTACAGCTTTTCATGACAACTGGCTAAGATATGAAACTATTGTTCCTATTTAACTAAGGAGAAAACAGTATTGAGGTCCAAGTTATAGAATAGAATTCAAAGTCTGGAATAGGACTTGTGTTTATTGACTTCTCTTGTGTTTCATTCATGAATACATTTTTTTTTTTTTAATTCTTATGGTAAGGTCAGGAGCTCTGGTGATACAGTGGTTAAAATGCTTGGGTGCTAACTGAGAGGTGGATGGTTCAAACCCACCAGTTGCTCTGTGGAAGAAAGATGTGGCAGTCTGCTTTCATAAAGATTTACAACCTTGGAAACACTATGGGGCAGTTCTACTCTGTCCTATAGGGTTGCTATGAGTTGGAATTGACTTGATAGCAGTGGATTTTGTTTGGGTTTATGGTGAGGTCAGCTTTTACAAAAAGAACCAGATACCACAGCTGGACATAACCAAGGTGTAAAAATAGTTTTATGGTACCTTCTATTATGCACAATGCTGTTTCTAATTTGTTTAACAAATAAAAATCAAACTACTTCTATGAGCTTTTTTATTGATCTTGTAAATAATTTATTGGGTCTATATGTAGACAAAACTAAAGAGTACAAATTAATTGAAACTGCTTGGTGTTGAAAAAGCATTTAAGGTTTGTGACTTCAGGAGAATCAGTTCATCTCTCTGGGTCTTAGGTTTTCCATCTGCACAATGAGGATGTGGGACCAGATGATGTCTAGGGTTTATTTTTGCTCTGAAATTTTGTGCCTCCCTGTTTTGCACTGCCTTGGGCTTTTCCTCTAACTTTTTAACCTTTCCTCTTCTCCCTTTGTTGCATTACCCTTTCCCTTTAGTAAATTTTATCTGTGTGTGTGTGTGTCTGTGTGTGTGTGAAAGTGTATAGTGTGTATGAGATCAGGGAATAATTTAAAGAAATCACTGTTCTGAATTGCTTACCTATATACACTATAGTTTAACAGAAAAGACAAAAATTCTGAGTGATCTTTTTATTTAGAAGGCTATTTCCTGGTAAACAGATATATTGAACAACCTAGTAACATACAAACCATTCCCCCAATACAAAGCAAAACCATGTTGTTGTTATTGTTATGTGCCGTCGAGTCAGACCTGACTCATAGCAACCCCTCCTTGGGTTTACAAGGCAGTATCACTATGGAAGTAGATTGCCCCATCTTCCTTCTGAGTGGCTGGTGAGTTTGAACCACCAGCCTTCTGGTTAGCAGTCAAGTGCCTTAGGCACTATGCTACCAGAGCTCCCAAGCAAGACCATATATAACCTCAAATCATAAACTCTTTTCAATATTTTAGTAATTTTGGATGAATAAGCAGGGGCATATGATCTAGAACCAATGGTATTGAAGGAGGAAATCCAAGCTGCATTGAAGGAATTAGTGAAAAGTAAGGCTCCAGGAATTGACAGAATACCATTGAAATGTTTCAACAAATGGATGCAGTGCTGGAGGTGCTTACTCATTTATGCCAGGAAGTTGGAAGACAGCTACCCAGCCAACTGACTGGAAGAGATCCATATTTGTGCCTGTTCCAAAGAAAGGTGATCCAAAAGAATGTGGAAATTATTAAACAATATAATTAACATCACATGCAATTAAAATTGTGCTGAAGATAATTCAAAAATGGTTGTGGCAGTATATTGGCTAGGAACTCTCAGAAATTTAAGTCGGATTCAGAAGAGGGAATAGAATGATGGATCTCATTCCTGATGTCAGATGGATCATGGCTGAAAGCAAAGAATACCAGAAGGATGTTTCCCAGAGATCTTTTCCAGGACATCCATATATATTGTTTTATTGACTATGCAAAGGCATATGACTGCATGGATCATAGCAAATTATTGATAACATTGCAAAGAATTAACTGTAGATCGACCATGCAGTATTCCCTGTTCTGTTTAAGTAGATTGCCCCATCTTCCTTCCGAGGAGTGGCTGGTGGGTTTGAACCGCCAGCCTTCTGGTTAGCAGTC